ATGGCAAAATCTAGTAGCTGTATTGTTTTGTTGGCTTTCTTTTTCACTACAGCACTAGCTACACTCACCGTGCGTGAACAAAGGTATTTGTCTGAATGTGCAAGCACAGTTGGAGAACATTGTGGGACCCAATTCTACAACAAACTCTTCAGTCACAACAAGACATCAATCACTAGAGATTGTTGTTACAAGATTCTTCAAACAGGTTACTCTTGTCACATCCAAATGACTGTGTTTATTCTAGAAACCAACCCGGATTTGAAAAATGTAGACCGGATTCCTTATCTTACCAAAAGCGACAACATGTTTCAGAAGTGCGATCGTCTTACCAAACCTGAGAACCAGAAGTTTCTGTCTCAGTGCGTAGAGGAAGTAGGATCGGCTTGCAGAGAAGAAGTTTATAACAAACTGGTTCGTGATGGGGATGTGAGTAAACAATGTTGCGAAAAGCTTGTGAAAGCGGGTTTGAAATGTCATCTTAGTCTGGCGAAGGCTTTACTTCGTACACCGCCGATGAAGGATATTGATGCAATTAAGTTTTTGAAGAAGAACAAGAAAGTATACAATGATTGTAAAAATATGGACCGAGAAATGTTTATGTGAAGTGAAATAAACTATATTGTAGTTGAAAATTTTGTTCATAGAACATGAGAAATTTATATGCATACTAGTACTAACATCTTTCTAATTGCTTTATTTAAGATATCTTAATTAGTCATTCGCGCGCCGAATCGAAAATTATGATAGTTTTTTAACATGCTTAAACTACATACCATATAAATCTACATTTGGCAAAACTGAATAAACTGAAAAAACAATTCATATTATAATCAAAGATGGATTGAAACTTCATTTTGGTTCTAAACTTCCTAACTATATATACTCAATACTTATGAGTGTAAGTATTATAACCCATGGAACTCATTCGAGGCCGAATACTGCGGTGTTCGTACAATGAGCCTCCGTATTCGACAGGCGTGATGACCACGGATTCCTTCTTCCCCTCTTGTTCCTGCACTGCTCCAAAAACTACCTCGTTTGTTGTCTCGTTGGTCTGCTCGTAGAAAGTGTGAGGGGCCGATGATTGGTACTGATGGCGGTGATGATGTTTTTGTTGTTGCTGTTGTTGTTGTTGAGGCTGATGTTGATCTCCATCCCACCCGCCGCTATAGAATGCTTTACTTTGCCGCAATTGTTGAATTTTTTCTGCGTCTTTCAACATGAAAGGATAGGTTTTTTGAGGCGTTGCGGCCCTGGTGTCAATAGACGGTGGTTCATCTTCGCGAGGAATCACGAAACTTTCCTGTGGTGGCCAATCATTCACTAGCTTCTGAGGTTGTTGGATCAGTGTTTCCCTATGGTATTGGGAGCTTTGTGGTCTTCTTCTGAAAACAGGAAATAATCCTCCCATTATCTCCACCATTGACACACCGGCATTTGAAAGAAGCTTCCCAAGAGATCCAAAGAAACCTTCTTCCTGCTTTTCGGGTTCATATTCGGACGGAATTAAAGGAGGCCGGACGGATTTCAAGGGCTTTTGATACGTACTTGGAGAAACATAAGACAATACTGTTACCGGAACCTGAGCCTGCAAAAAGCATGAGATGTTTATTGATTGTAATAAGCACCAACACATACACATACACATACACAGACAACAAACACGTCATTGATACATCGACATCAGTAATTATGAGAAAATAGAATAATTGAATGTAACCATGCGTGCTGGCTCAGGTTAATATCAGTATTCATTTTTCAAGTTAATATCAGTGTCGACGTGTCTGTGTTGGTGTCGTGTCCCCGGTTTTCGTGTATGTGCTTCATAGATAATGCATCATAAGGAAGAAAACAAGGCTAAGCACTTACATCCTGAGATTCTACAATTGTACCGAGCCTACGCTGCAGCAGCGCCAGCATATAGCCAAAGAAGCCAGCCCCAACAAGCATTGCAATTCCTGTGATTGAAGGAAATCAGTCTTAATTTCTGATCAAGACTCTCGACAAAATTTCTCCACAAAAAGTTTGGGTGATTTTAGTTTACCAAGAGGGAAATCACTTCCATATCTATAGGCACAATCATCAAAGTGGAGTTGGATCTCCCTGATGGCTTGGTTTCCTCTGTCTACAACTAGTAGGGAACAACTACTTCCAACATAAACCACATCGAAGTCGTCAGAAAATTTAGCTTCTTCACTTGGTCCATCAACATGTCCCCCTCCACGGCTCCATTTTCCTCCAGCAATTGTTGTGACCCCTAATTTTTCATGCAGCAATTAGGTACTAAGCATGGAGACAATTGAACTGCAACTACCTAGAGGTAGCGGAGCAAGAAAAATTATCGTACTACCTGAATCGCTAATTTTCCTAATTGCCATATTTGTAGTATCTGCAACATAAATATTTCCTCGGTCATCAATAGTTATCCCTTTCGGGTGGTTCATCCGAGCCTCCCTGAGCTTCCCATCAACATGCCCAGAGTATCCTTCAGCTGATCCAGCCACCAGCTTTGGTCTGCTATCTGCAGAATTGCAATGAATTTTATATTTCCAAGTGAATAAATATACACATGCACGGACACAAACCGTCATGGCACAATCACGGTTGAGTTCAAACATGATTTTTACACCGAAAATTTATTCTTCAACTCACTTTTAAATAAATGTATCAAAACATAAATCACTTTACATTTCAATTCCTTTTCAACCAGAATCAATTCTACAATATCAATTCACTCAGAATCAATTCTGGTCACGGCAGAACCAAACACACGATAATTCTCCACGACACAATCTAATCTTCAAAAAGTAATGATAATTAATTTTCCAAAACATGTACATAGAAAACAAAAAGAGGAACGCATCACATTTGAAGACTCACACAAGGACAGTGATGAGGAGATTCTATAAAGGTTACTATTAGCAGAATCAAGAATGAGAAGCTCCCCATTATGCAAAACCTCAACAGCATAAGGCTCAATTCCAAGTTTACTTCCATCAAACACAGTCTCCACATTGTAACCACTCTCAAATTTCATCATTGACTTGCTCAAAACCCCTACAATAAAAAAACAACAAAATTACATTAAAAAAAATATTAATAATAAAAACAAAATGGGAAAAAAAAAGGGCTCATGAATTATTATCAGCATGCAAAGATCCACATTTCATACCAGCTTTAGTTGTGGATTTAAGAGACCAAACCCATTTGGTGAAAGCAGGGACAGCATTGGAGAGAAACCCAGAAAGGAGTTCTGAAATGAAGAAGAAGCAAATGAGAAAAAGATGAGAACTTTGAAGAAATGAAAAGTTCATGGGTTGGTACTTACTTGCAGGTGAAGATGTAGATGGTGCAGCTGAGACTGAGAGAAGGTGAAGAATGAGAGATAGTAACAAAAATTGCTTAGTCATTTTGGTGAAGAAGATGGAGAAGAATGAAGAAGTTGTTGTGGAGGTGGAAATAGTAACAATGGGGGTAAATGGTGAAAGTGAAACCCTAATTCATGTTGAAAAAGTGAAGGGAAATGGCAATAATGTTTAGTGGTTTTGGGTTTTTAGCAGAAAAGATTGGAAAAGAAGTGGAGTTTTTGAGTGTGAAAAGGTAAGAGAGAGAGAGAGGGAAAGGAAAAAAAGTAATGAGATAGGACCAATGTTTCTAGAGGGGTTTGTCTTGTTTAATTTTATTGCCATTAATTAATCTTAAAGTTTATTTGAGATAAAGTTACCTTGATGCTTAAAGAATAGGAATAAATCTTGTGTTACTTTTGTATATGTAAATTCGAGGAAACCGGTCACTAGTTTTTTTATTTTTTTATTAAAGGGTTAAATAAGTTAGATAGAGTGTTTGGATTGATGGAAGGGAGTGAAATGGAAAGGAAATGAATAGTATAAATTTATGTTCTATTATTTGAATGATTAAAAATGGATGAAATAGAACGGAATCAGATGAAATGTATTCCATTTCATTTTATCATTACTCTCCGTCATTTTTTATATCATCTGATTTGGACGAAATGACAAAATTTCTCTATTCTGTCATGAAATACTCAAATAATATAATAACATCTTTATTCAATTTCACTATGTTTCGTTCTGCTCCATTTCATTTCACTATGTTTATTTTACTATATTTAAACATAGTCTTAGGGTATCTTTGAATTAATGGAAGAGAATGGAATAGAACACAACATAATGGTATAAACTTATGTTCTATTGTTTGGATTGATCAAGAGCATATAAAATAGAGTGGAATCGGATGGAATGCATTTCATTTCATTTCATTTCATTCCATCATTATTTATATCTTTTGATTTGGACAGAATGACAAAATCTCTCTATTTCGTCATGAATTACTCAAACAATAGAATGACATCTTTATTTCATTCTACTCTACATTTCATCCTGCTTCATTCATTTTACTATATTCAAACATAACCTTAAATATAACAAAATTTATTTTTATTCCTCAAAAATTTTATTTTGTATAATGGTCTTTGCAATGTTTTTATCTAAATTTTTTGTCTCTCAAAATAATTTTTTTTAACGGAAACTGATGTGAAGAGATAACTTTGACAAAGTTTTGACATGCTAGCTGATAAATAAATGAGCACCTCAAATATTGTTGAATTATTTTATATTATAACATGAAATATGAATTAAAATGTAGTAAATATTTGTTTTTATTTGAAATAATATTTGATGGAAAGGAAAATACGTAAATGTTATTTGTGAACTTTAATCTATTTTAAATCCTTCTATATTAAAAAGTTTCTCTCACAATTTCATTTATGTTAGTCGAAGCTTTGTAATACCAAACAGTCTCTCATCATAGTTATGTTCTTCTAAACTCCTTCAAAATATTCTCTTTCTATCATGTTTAAACCTCGGTCCTCGTTTAAAGTTGTGTACGAAACATTGAAAATTTTATTTTAGTATGATCTTTTAAGTTGTTGAGAGCATTGAAAGTTATGGTTGATGGTTCCATTGAGACATTAAGAAACCATGAATTTTGGGTTTTGCTGTTCAGGTTAGTCCCACATGATTTTCTCAATTTGTACATATACAATTTATGTCTTCGATTGAAATTGAATATAGTATTGTCACTACTACAAAAAGTACATATTACGAAGCCCATTTTACCACGGTTCATTGAAGGACCATGGTGACATCATGAAGATCAGGCATCATCATTTTATTTATTTATTAATAAAAAATAATTTACATTTTACCATTGTTGGATAAAGCACTCGTAGTGAAATCTCGTAAAGTTCATGGGTTCGAATATTATAGTGGCACTTTTATTTTTGATTTATTTTTAAACTAAATATAAGTCAAATTTCACTATAGTTGAATATCCCAACAATATTGGTATTGAAATTCTGGTACTTTTAAAAACAAATTTTAAAACTGATGTTTCATCACAAAACGCGATGTCGGGACATATATTATAACACCACCTGTTGATATTACAACTTTCCTCCTAATCACTACACCGTGCAACTTCTGCCTAGGAACCTCCTAGATATGAGAACCTCTCACTTCCAATCACAACAATGATATACCTACAACCACAAACCTTGTGACTAGACTTAAACCAATCATAATCACAGTGATGGTATAAAGAAATTCCAATAGAATATTACACTTCAAATCAGCAACACTTAGTTAAGACTCTTAACTAAGAATAATATTTGGTTTTGCTTAAAAGCTTCAACTAAGAATAATAGCTTGATAAACAAGCAACAATCAGTCAACTCAATGCACAAAGAACTTGAAAGACTCCTAAAATATAAACCCTTATGTTGCACTCACAGTTTCTTCTTGTGAATGCTTACTATTTTAGGTCTAGAAAGTTCTTGTTTATAGGCTCTTGTAGTATGGGATTGGACTCTTCAAAAGATCCAATCTTCACATTCCAAAATAGCTGCAAGATTTTCTCATAAAAATTAAAACAAATCTTTTTAAATCTTCCTAAAAAGTCTCCAAGATCTTTTTTAAGAAATCCAATTAAATCAGCACTTTGTTCCTAAATAATCTTCTTGACCTGCGCATAATGATGAAGAATATCCAAAAGGATCTCATCAAATCAAATCCAATCTGTCAAGATATACATAACAACAGCGCCTGTTGTACATAAACCACAATGTCATGACATCTGTCTTCGGCATTTGGATGAAAAATCATAACAGCTGGATTGTCACGACAGTTGATGAAGATGTTACAACATCTTGCTCAATATCAGTATAGAACTATGTTTTACCCAAATTTATCCAATCATAAAACCATGGAACTAACAATCTCCCCATTTGGAAAAGTTTGGCTAAAACAACCAAAGCATGATAAATCTGGAGATATGAATAACACCACAACACAAGCTACATGCAATCATATAAACTTTGTACAAACTGCATTCATGAAAATATATAAGAGATTTCATACAGTTACATATCACTATCTTCAAAACTTCAGAAGAACAAATGCCCAAACATGTGGTCTGACATCACATAGCACAACTCCTCCATAACACATGATCTAGATAGACCAGACATGTCTAATATCCCCTTTGTCACATATGATGAAGACTCTCACTCAAAGGGGAAACACAAATCGCCAGAAAATTTATGAACTACCCAAGTTCACACATCAGAGGCAGCAACAGCAGAAGCTAAAGCAACCTCACATCAGGATTTCCTCATATTAGGCAAGATGTCAAAACATTAGATAAGACATCATACACACAGCCTTCACTAGCAGTAATAGCAGCAGAAAATTCAGGCCAACATGACAGACTATCATGTTCCCCCTAAGTAGTTGCATCCAACAAGCAACCAGAATAACTACTCTCTTCTTAGCAGTAGCACAATCTTATTAGAATGCTAATTAACATGTCAAGGCATGTTTAATAACATCAGGAAAAAAAAACACCAACACTTCAAACACTTTACTCCCCATTTTTAATCCAAAACTTGACAAAAACTGGAGCAAATGTAAACATAATTGGAAGCACACAAATTGCACATAAGTAATAAACACAGATGGAAGCTGTTGTACCCCAAAATTTGCCCTCGCATTTTTCCCCAAGAAATCTCAGCTTCAAACATTTCCTGACTTCTCAAACTAGTTCAAGAATCGGACAAACGGACTTTTCTTGACAGTCATTCAAAATTAGGGTTTTCACTGATTTTCAGAGCTTTGAATTGTTTCATATAGTGGGCTTAAGGTTTGATTGATTGTTGGTTCAATTTTGATCAAGCGAGCGTGATTTGGCATTTAATCGGGAATTAGGGTTTTATGGGCATATTCTCAGAAGGATTTGAATTCCACAGCACTTTGCGGTTTATTTCAAGATTCGGATTAAAATTCGCGTTATCTTGGTTTAATCAGTAAAAGAGACAGTGGATTTGAATTCAGTACGTTTTGATTGGGCCAGTCATGTACCAGATGCAGTATTGGATTCACAGTGTTTGTGTATTTGATCAGTCTATTTGGATCGATTGCTGCTTTGCTTTGGATGTTGGATAAGACAGGTTTATTGGATCGATGTTGTTTTATTTTAGTTATTTATTATTCTAAAATTAAATGATTGAGTTAACTTTTCAATTGTTTTAATTCTAAGAATTTTAAATAAATAAATAAGCAATAAAGAAATTAGAACCAATTGGATACTTTGATTTTTATTGATATTTGAATTATTTACAAATTGTTGTTACAAACAATAATTTACATTTAATTTAAATATTACATAGAATGAAAAACTATCCTATTTTCTAAATATTCTTCGTGCCTCACTCCGCTCCGGTATTCCATTTTTCATCTGCAAAAAGAAATAAGAAAAGTCAGAAAGCGTTAAACAGATAAAATTGCTCATCATTAGGGGCCACTGACTGGGATCAGTTGCCCTCTCTGCAAATCACGGAATTTCCCCCGGTTCACAGAGAGGGAAGATTATTTTATCTCATGAAATGCAAATGTCAAAAAATGCATAGTTTCTAAAAGTTTGCAAGCTGCATAGAAGTTCAAGATTCAAAATCCAAACCAAACTGAAAAAGTTCAATTCAAACTTTCAATCCAAAAACAAAGTCCACTCAAAGAAAATCAAGGAAGTATATTTGCTGTCACAAGCATACAAGCTGTCATGGAAAGATTTTTGGAAGAGATATCAAAAGGCAAAGTCAGATCAAAATTGTCAAAAAGATAAAGATGCAAAATGTAAGATGCAAGAAATCTTTTTCATCATTTCCCACAAGGCCCCTTCAGAAAAGTACAAGAATATCATATAAAAATCTTAAGCTGTACTTTGAGAGAAGGAAAAGAGATAAAGCAGTAGGCAGGATTTAGGCATGGCAGTTCAAGCTCAGTACAGCAGACAGTGCAGTAGCAGGAAGAAAAAAAGATACACAAAATCTACAAGT